TGTCCGTTTTCTGTGTCTTATTTGTCATGAAAGAAAATGAAATTCAGACTAAGTTTGAAGGGTAAACCATGGTATATGAACCATTTCTACTAGGGTAAACTAAAGTATATGGAACACTTCTGTCTAGGGTAAACTATTGAATATGAAACACGCCCACATTTTTAAACGATAATAAAAATGGCTATTAAAGTAATTATTATTAGTGCCATTATTTTTATTAATAATAATAATAATAATGATGGTGATGGTAGTTGTAGTGGTGATGGTGGTAGTTCTGGTGCTGGTGGTTATGATGGTAGTTGTGATGGTGGTGATGATGGTGGTGGTAGCTGAAAAATTTAGACACTTGCAACATCTGGGTATCCTTATTGTAGACGTTTCGCCATCCAGTGGCTTTATCAATACAGATTCTAAGACTAGTTTGAAGACAGTAGACCTATATACAAAAGATGAGGTAATCAGTCCCTCAGCCTTGGAGGTGGCGTGAAGAGCACCGTAGTCGTGAAGATTATGGAGCACAGGCAAGAAGACTGACGCTTATATACTAACGTCAGGTGGAGAGGGGCGGGTAGCAGACGAGGCGTTAGTCACTGGTAGGCGGGATTCCCCAGTGGAAGTAGGTCATACGTAAAGGGATGGGTAAGTTGTAGTAGCCGTGAAGGTCATGTAGATGTCCTCTGAGCCATGATTCCAGTGTCTAACACTGCATCATCATGGAATCTTGGTTCAGAGGACATCTAAATGACCTTCTTCTACAACTACTACTACAGCTTACCCATCCCTTTGGGTATGACCTACTGGGGAATCTCGCCTACCAGTGACTATGCCCTCGTCTGCTACCCGCCCCTCTCCACCTGACGTTAGTATATAAGTGTCAGTCTTCTTGCCTCTGCTCCATAATCTTCACGACTACGGTGCTCTTCACGCCACTTCCAAGGCTGAGGGATTTTTTTTTTATTCGCCGGTATTCTCCCGGCCCGGGTCTTTTCCATATATATGTTCTACTGTCTTCAAACTAGTCCTAGAATCTATTGATAAAGTCACTGGATGGCGAAACGTCTACAATAAGGATACCTAGATGTTGCACATGTGTGTAAATTTTCATCTTGTAGGTATTACATACCATTCTTGTACTACATGGTGGTAGTTGTGGTGGTTGTGATGGTGGTGATGGTAGTTGTGGTGGTGATGGTAACTGTGGTGGTGGTGGTGGTGATGGTAGCTGTGGTGGTGATGGTGGTAGTGGCGATGGTAGCTGTGGTGATGGTAGCTGTCGTGGTGGTGATGGTAGCTGTGGTGGTGATGGTAACTTTGGTGGTGGTGGTGGTGATGGTAGCTGTGGTGGTGATGGTAACTTTGGTGGTGGTGGTGGTGATGGTAGCTGTGGTGGTGATGGTAACTTTGGTGGTGGTGGTGGTGATGGTGGTGATGGTAGCTGTGGTGGTGGTGGTAACTTTGGTGGTGGTGGTGGTGATGGTAACTGTGGTGGTGATGGTGGTGGTGGCGATGGTAGCTGTGGTGGTGATGGTAGCTGTGGTGGTGGTGATGGTAGCTGTGGTGGTGGTGATGGTAGCTGTGGTGGTGGTGGTGGTGATGGTAGTTGTGGTGGTGATGGTAACTTTGGTGGTGGTGGTGGTGATGGTAGTTGTGGTGGTGATGGTAACTTTGGTGGTGGTGGTGGTGATGGTAACTGTGGTGGTGATGGTGGTGGTGGCGATGGTAGCTGTGGTGTGATGGTAGCTGTGGTGGTGGTGATGGTAGCTGTGGTGGTGGTGATGGTAGCTGTGGTGGTGGTGGTGGTGATGGTAGTTGTGGTGGTGATGGTAACTTTGGTGGTGGTGGTGGTGATGGTAGTTGTGGTGGTGATGGTAACTTTGGTGGTGGTGGTGGTGTGGTGGTGGTGATGGTAGCTGTGGTGGTGATGGTGGTGGTGGCGATGGTAGCTGTGGTGGTGATGGTAGCTGTGGTGGTGGTGATGGTAGCTGTGGTGGTGATGGTAGCTGTTGTAATGGTGGTGGTTGTGGTGATGGTAGTTGTGGTGGTGGTGGTGATGGTAGTTGTGGTGGTGATGGTGATGGTAGTTGTGGTGGTGATGGTGGTGATGGTAGCTGTGGTGGTGATGGTGATAGTAGCTGTGGTGATGGTGGCAGTTGTGGTTGTTGTGATCGTGGTAGTGATGGTGGTGGTGGTGATTGTAGCTGTGGTGGTGATGGTGGTAGTGGTGATGGTGGTAGTGATGGTGGTGGTGATTGTAGCTGTGGTGGTAGTGGTGATGGTAGCTGTGGTGGTTGTGATGGTGGTGATGGTGGTAGTACTTGTCGTGGTGGTATGAGGGGCGGGGTGTTGTATGAGTGTACGAGAGCGAGAGAGAGAGAGAGAGAGAGAGAGAGAGAGAGAGAGAGAGAGAGGAGAGAGAGAGAGAGAGAGAGAGAGAAAGTGAAACACGAAGGGCAAGCGCCGTAGAGTTTCTTTAAAAGTTTCCCTTATTATTATTCCTTAGATCAAGCATAAGGACGACCTCCTCCTTGAAGTGGTGGAGTACTGGAGTATGAGAGAGTTGTTCTCAAGCTCCCGGATTCTCCACTGACATGCTGGCACCTCTCTCGCTGCATAATCCGTACTGGTTTAGCGCATAATAATAACAACGGCGAATTATCAGCAATCACACTGCTGAATCCCATTGAAAACGGTCGAAAAACGGCTATATTCTTACAGTTGAAACCTCACTGAAACTGCCGTTAACAGTAGAAATGAAGATGGAGACTCAACCCAACAGATGGGTAATTAAGGGACAAAGAACCGTTGTCACTGTTAGCGTCCATTTTAACGACATGATGACGTTGACATGACGTTGACATGATAGCGTTGACATGGTGGCGTTGACATGATAGCGTTGACATGGTGACGTTGACATGATAACGTTGACATGATAGCGTTGCCATGGTGACGTTGACATGATAACGTTGAAGTGATAGCGTTGATATGAAAACGCTGACATGATAGCGTTGATATGATGACGGTGACGTGATAACTTTGATATGATAACGTTGACCTGATAACGTTGACATGATAACCTTGACATGATAACCTTGACATGATAACCTTGACATGATAACCTTGACATGATAACCTTGACATGGAAGATAGTAGTTACTACTACTACCACTATCTGTCTTGATTATGATATTTAGTAAGATAATTAATATGAAGGAAGAGAGAGAGAGAGAGAGAGAGAGAGAGAGAGAGAGAGAGAGAGAGAGAGAGAGAGAGAGAGAGAGAGAGAGAGAGGGGGGGGCAGGAACAGAGCGGTGAAATACAGCTGTGGTATTATCTCACCAGTACCAGCAACCACCACCACCACCAGCAACCACCACCACCACCAGCAACCACCACCACCACCAGCTACCACCACCAGCAACCACCACCACCAGCTACCACCACCAGCTACTACTAGCAGCCACCACCAGCTACCACCAGCAACCACCATCGCCACAGCTATCACCAGCAACCACCACCACAGCTACCACCAGCAACCACCACCACAGCTACCACCAGCAACCACCACCACCAACAGCAACCACCACCACCAACAGCTACCACCACCACCAACAGCTACCACCACCACCAACAGCTACCACCACCACCAACAGCTACCACCACCACCAGCAACCACCGTCATATACCATATAACATCCAAACCAACCACTCTCGTTCCCACCGTAGTTACATTCCTCAAAAAATAACTAATAACGCAATCAATCTAATTCACACGAAAAGTTACATCATATCTATAATCTTAATTGTATTTAATGAGTAACTGACCATATAAGATTCACTTAAAGAAGAGTAAATTATCTGTAAGTAGAGAAACGAGATGTAAACGTGATTAGAACACGTGAGGACATGATGAGAAGCTGGTGTAGCCTGTTCGTCTTGTGGGAGTTATTGTGATCACCTGTGCTGTTGTGAAGTTATCTTGGTGATAACCTGTGTTCCTGGTGTTCTTGTGAGGTTATCCTGGTGATAACCTGTGTTTCTGGTGTTCCTGGGGAGTTATCCTGGTGATAACCTGTGTTCCTGGTGTTCCTGGGGAGTTATCCTGGTGATAACCTGTGTTCCTGGTGTTCCTGGGGAGTTATCCTGGTGATAACCTGCGTTCCTGGGGAGTTATCTTGGTGATAACCTGTGTTTCTGGTGTTCCTGGGGAGTTATCCTGGTGATAACCTGTGTTCCTGGTGTTCCTGGGGAGTTATCCTGGTGATAACCTGTGTTTCTGGTGTTCCTGGGGAGTTATCCTGGTGATAACCTGTGTTCCTGGTGTTCCTGGGGAGTTATCCTGGTAATAACCTGTGTTTTTGTGGAGTTATCCTGGTCATCGCTGACTCACCTGGCTTTACCACTCTTACCACAGGTGGGTGGAACCCCTCAGGCTATTGTTGGTGTGAGAATCTGCTGGGAGAATAACACCGTGAGCGATTTCATCTCGCCCAGGCGTCTATTTTTTCCTGCTGGCTGTGTTGAAGTGTAGCTGTTGGAGGCAGTGAAGTCTGGGGGACAGGGGGAGAGCTGGGGGACTGAGGGAGAACTGGGGGACGGAGGGAGAACTGAGGGGAGTGAGGGAGAACTGGGGGATCGCATGTAACGGGGGAGACACAGCTCCCAGTAGCATGATGCACGCCACTCTAAACACGACTATTTTTGCCTCTTTCCTCGTAATTTTACACATCAACATTGTTTTCCAGATATGCGAGAACTGTGAGTCTCAGGTCGAATGAGGTGGTTGGTCCAGTTGGCGAGAGATGGGAGTACGTGTAGCATGCAGGTGTAAGGTGCGGGTGTAGTGTGTGAGCACTGCTACACAACACCTGTTGGCTGTCCTGATGTCCAACCTTATTTCAACTGACCATATAATGAGTAAAACTGTCTTTTTGTTCCCTTTTTCGTTCGTATCTTTTCGGATGTGGTCGGAAAAAGTCGGGTGTCATGCCTATAAATGGTGTAGGTGGGCCGCTTTCTTTAGTAACTTGAGCTACGGACACTGGCGACATCTGGAGGAGAATTTAAGACATGAACACCTATCTTTGGGGTTGAGTGTGTTTGGAGTTGTGGCCAGGCGGAGGTAGCAGACGGTGTGCGTGTGCCCGCGTCTCGTACAACCCTTCGGCGTCACCAGGCAGTGTTTAAAGTGCGTGTGTGTGCCTGACCTGAGTGTCCTCACATAAACATGTCTTCCAAGGCACTTGTCTCCTCCAGCACGACCAAGGTGTCAGCCTCCAGCTCGAGGACTCAAGTGATCTCCTCCTCTGTTTCGTCGAAAAAAGTGTCCTCCAAGACGTACTCTTACCGTGCTGGAGCCGCTCCCGACGACAGCAATGTTACCATTGAGTACATCACAGATGTCAGCAATATCTCCCGCTTGGAGGTACGTCCAGCACCTCCCTCCACCCCCTCACCTCCACCTCCCTCATCTACCTGGGCAAACGCCAGTGTATCCAAAATTATAATCTCACATGTTCCTCGTATATTTTCAGAGATCAATCTCACTGGGCATTAAAAGAGCAAAAAAAAAAAAAAAAGAAAAAAATATCAGGAAAGGTTGTGTACAGGTTGTAAAACATCAGATCTTTAATCCATACAGTGAAAAGAAGTAAAGTAGGTAAGCAAGTCCCGATGGGAGGGAAAAATACGCCCATACGAGACTATAAGTGTGTAGAGAACGTAATGAGAAAAACACCACTAGTTGGTACTCGCTGATGGCTGAGAATCCACGTGTAGGGTTGGGCATCCAGCCAAGACTCCTATCACCATGACAACCAACCAGCTCCCATCAACATTGGTTTCCTTTCGTGTAGGGAACACCCTCCCCTCACACACCTGTGCATGACTTTTGCCTCGGATATTCTAAATGTACTTATATAACAGTTATGGAATAGTGACTCACGTAAATTTCCCTGTACACAAGACAGCAGACAACCCCTTTGCGTCACCGAGGGTGAAAAATGAGCCTAAAAGAATTTGATATTTAACTTTCAGTCATAATTTACAGGAACAGTACAGGCCAGTCACCTTCCAAGGATTACGTACAATCTTCCATCTCGTTGATGTGTGGTCAGTGACGCCGAGCGGAGTACATGCCTGCCTAATTATACGAAGGATAAATTTGTCTTCACACGGCTCCTTGTTTCACGTTAGTTTTCACATTCAGAGCAGTATGAAATCTTAGATTACATTCACAAGAATGAAGGAGGTATGAAATAAGCTTCTTTCGTAGAACCCGAGCCAAATTATGGAGCAGGTAAAATGTCTTTGAGGGGTATAGAAACTCCCTCAGGGGAGGAAAAATACACAGTTTTTGTCTTGTCCTTTGTAGGGTCTTCGGTGGTAGAGGTAACGTACCTGTCCGCTGCTGTACAGATGAGAATCCTCACTTACACGACTATCTCTAGCTGCGGTAGCTTCACCAGTAGTATGTCTAGCTCTCTCAGCATGTCTAGCTGCGGTAGCTTCACCAGTAGTATGTCTAGCTCTCTCAGCTTCACTCTCAGCATGTCTAGCTGTGACAACTTCGCCAGTAATATGTATAACTCCTTCAGCTTTGCTAGCGGTATGTCTAGCTCTCTGAGCAGCATGTCTAAGACATGTCTAAGACAACTAGAACACGGCCTCGACAAGTCTTGGTATTATTAGTTTTGTTATGGTACTGATAAAAAAATACTGAACATTCGTAAAGGTTACGCAGAATCAGTTCAAAATTCGGCGCGACCTTGATTATATATATTATTGTATATTATTATATATATATCATTATATTAAGAAGTCACAGCCTCTTCTCAGCAGTTCAGGTTAACGAGAGGAAGAGGACGCTAAACGTTACTCACTTTTTAGCTGTACTGCAAAATGGGAACAGAAATCCCAGTCCAGTGTTGACCCGTCCATCTCTACGAACCATGCAGTACTGAACTCTCGGCCATGACTGAACAGAAGAGTGTATGAGGTTTCGAACCTGGGGGGGGGGGGTAGAGGTCTTCTGCACACTGTTATATGGTTATTAATATTCATATTCTTCAATTCAGTCACAAAATATTAGTGTCGCTATGAATTGTTTTCGAGTTTATTTACAACAGGGAAAGTCAGGGTAGATTTCCAAAATGGCTGGTAATGTGCCGCCACTATAGATAAGATTCTTTAACATTTCTTGAGCATTGTTTGGTTTCATTATTTTTTCTTTCGCATTTCATCGTGTAATGACGCAGGATGTGATATTCCCACTGGAAATTGTTACGACCTCAGGTACATGAAAGTCCGTTGTAGCTAGGTGCACTTCAGGTCACCGGTCAAAGAGCAAACCTAAATAAAACAGGCAAAAACAAATACAGAGGGGTAGTTTTTCCCAGTAATCGTAGATTTCCTCTACCAGTATTTGCACTACGTACAAAGGGCAGTTGAACAGCTGAACGTTAATGAGTGAGAGAGTACATTCACTCACTGAAAGTGGCTTTGCACCTCATACAGGATAGATCAGTATTTGCATTAAGCCAGCCTCGGTGAGAGTTTTATTCCAAGCCAGGTGTGAAAACGTGACATCAGTTCGGCTGGGGAACAATATCTCACCCCATGGGTTGACATATAAGCCTGACAGCAAATTAGAATAGTCGGGGCCCTTTACCAACTACTCCGACCTTACTGCCAGATTGGCTGGTTCAGAAGGAATGCAAAAAGCGGGTGTGATGAACCCCTAATTAAATGTAGCGTATTAGGTGCACGCCACATAAAATTTTCATTTACGTTTTCGCTGGTATCGCAAACTCCCACATGTTTAGTATTTTAGTCATTTGTGCGCATCGTCGGACGATCCTCATCTCTTCGCTCTACAATTTTTCAAGTCCAACCAGCTTTCTACCTGTGTCAGGGGTGCGTTATAGTCAACGAGTGCTTTGGTATGAGGAAAATTAATTATTTTCACTATTCTCACTATTTTCACTATCCACTATTTGTATTGTCGACAAAGTCTGGTTGCAACAAGTCCTAATAGTGGGACCACAAATTCTAGATATCAGTATCTGGTTGCATATTCTAGTAGAGACCCATGATGCTAGTGGATGCTACGGACTGCGTCTCTCTGTCGGGAAGAACGCTTGTTAAGTATCTTCGTTTTCTCAGCCGAGGTCAACCACAGGTCCCGAGACTAGTTTATAACATAGTTAAGAATGTTTTGAGGTGTTGGTAAATCCGGTGGTGTGAATCATTATATAATTAAAAAGCTAATATAATGATTGAGCTACCTTTGGATAGAATTTAGGAACGTATTAGAATATCGAATGAGGTTGGACTGAGCAAACCTTTCTGTGGGGTTCCTAATGTAAAGTGACAAGTTACACTTTTGTTCCTGTGGGACAACACAGACTTTCTGCGGGACAGATACTTATCTAGCGGAGAAGCTATCCTCCAACAACCTTTCTGACAAATTCACTAATGAATACATGTCTGTTAGCTATGTAAAATGCTGCTTTGAGGTCAAGGAAGGTAGTGCAGGGGCTGACAGTATGCAGTGAGAAAGGTAGTTATGCTGTGTTTCACACTCCTTCCATGCATGAAACCATTTAGCCGAGAACAGAAGCTGCTTGATTCTATTCATTAGACGATTTAGAATCATCCTCTCAAATATTTTACACAAGATATCGGGTGAAATGCATTTTGTTGATTGCATTTTAGAATGAGAATGATGAGACTGTTGGTCCATGATTCAAGGAACTGCCCGGTTACAGCTCATGCTGTATAGATTTAGTAAAGGATTACCTGGTATTTGATAGAGCAATCTGAGTATGTTGTAAGTGATAATATCTTTATCTGGAAGAGTGAATTTACCTTTAGGTAGTACGGCTTCGAGCTCAGATTTCGTGAAAAATATGTTGCCATCATCTTTCTTGGTACTCATAAAACGAACCAGTCTCTCTCTGGTATCATTTGTTATTTAATTTCGTTTTTGTGGTAACTGGTAGAGTCTCACGGCTAGAGGTAGCAGCCCAAGCATTGACTAACTCACTCACTCAGTGTAAAGGATGAGGATGCGTCTTGGTGCCCTAATTCTATTTACAACCCTCCACGCCCTGCTAAGTGGGGTGTGGCCACTGACACCAATAGCAAACGTTTCTCAACCTAAGGAATTTATTTCCATAGGTTAGGCGTATTCTTCTGCTCAGAATTTAACATCACTGAATGATTATCACAGTAGTTAGTTGACATTGAAGTACTGGAGAGGTGGAGACTGAGTGAATGTTCAAGTGGTTCTAAATAATTCTAAATAATACTTACGAACTCATTTTTAAAGGTCTCGATAAAGAAACCATAAGAATTGTACTAATCCGTCCCATGAGTGACAAAGTTGTCATGTTGAACTAGGGAATGATAGCATTTCCGATTTCATAATCCACCAGGGAGAATTATTACCAAAATCGAGAGTGGCTAGTCTCGGGAAGTGATGTGATGATACATCTGCTACCGTATACGACTAACAGCTGGCAAATAATGCGATAAAACAAGAAACAGGTCAAGAATACCTCCATAGGTGTGTGTGGGTTCAAAGCCGCTCACAATTTACACATCATTGCTATTAAAGAGGGATACAAGTTGTTTATACTATTACGACTACTAATTTGTGAGTTTCCGATGTTGTCTGCGTCTAGTATTTTAATTTCTAACAGTGACAGAGGGGCTCTGACTGAGCACAAGATAGATAATCACATCGTAGTAGGTGTGACATCTGGCAGCACAAGACCTCAACACACACATACATACCAGAGAACTATTGGGGCTCTGAAAAATAGTTTGCTCTCAACAACACATAACAGAAGATATTGGAAATACAAATACCCTAGACTTTGACTCAAGAAATCGTAATGACACGATTGCAAACAAACCATACCCCCGGCCGGGATTGAACCCGCGGTCATAGAGTCTCAAAACGCGACGGGCTGGAGTTTTGAGACTATGACCGCGGGTTCAATCCCGGCCGGGGGTATGGTTTACCCTAGACTTTTTCTTCTTAAACAATGACACATAACATTCTGAAGCACATTATACTTCAGTCACAGCTTCACTGAAGTACAATCCATGCGTAGAGAACCTAAGAAGTCATCTTCAGAGAATGTTCAATAAATTTAACTTCAACAGTGATAATGATTGTGACAAAATAAACAAAGAACTACCAGACAGTCCTGGAAAACAGTCCTGAGCGCCTCAACACACACCAGGGCCTGGAAAAGCTGAACACACAAACATACAAAGTCTGTATAAAAATATGTTCTGCAGAGAAAGCTTAAAGGAAATAAAATATTGAAAAAATATGCAGAAGAAAAAGGAATTACTGAAAATCTTAAACAAACGAGCATAAGCCACAAGAAAGGGGAGATAATCAACACCGAG